CGGTACATGTTTAGATGACACACAATATTGTGATTTCACTCCTCAATGTACAGATGGTTATGACGAGAGCCAATGTCGTAAGTACTGTAAATTATTTTCATTCTAAAACGAGAGGCAAATGTACACGAATAAGAAAATTTATTTTATTTATATTCATTCTACATATATGAAATTCTTGATTTACATTAATCTATATATGTTTTATTTTCCCGTACTCACTACTGCAGCTACTACTTGCGATTTTGAGTATCCCATATCTGAGTGCGGCTGGTACGAAGGCACGCCTGATGACAACTTTAATTGGCATAGAGCACGTGCATATGATTTGCGACATACACCAGAATTAGCTCCAGCAGCTGATCACACACATAATTCTAAATATAGTAAGTATTTAACATAGTTACTGAGTTATATATAACTTTCAGAATTCACTCATACGTTACACTCTCCATTTAAAATACAAATAATTAATTGTTGTCATTTTTTGTTATTATCATTTTGTTATTTACTTGAACACCTAATTGCGCATGTGCAAGATATATGGGTCTCATATAAACAAAGATGGCGACTTTGACTGTTGCGCAGATCAACGAGTACAAACTGAGACGTTTCCAAACTTAAATTAGGCAATTTTCATGTGATTGGAAGGTATCGAAGGAGTTACCGTCGGTAATCAGTGCAAGTCGAGCCCAGGTCAAACCTCATACTTGTGATTTCCATTTGAAGAACGCATTGGATTGTGGGAAAATCAATGTTTATCAACACAAATGTCGCACATGTGCAGCACGACAACTACCGCGCTTTAATCAACATTGCTGCCCTTTTGTGGAGATTTGCAAATCGTTGTATTTAAATTCTTCATAACTATATTGGGAGGTTGCATGTAGAGACAAATTGAATTCTGACAGAGAATTTGTTGGTTCCACGATGAAGCCTCTTTAATTTTTCTTTCTGCATCTTTACATGAATGAACTCCTATATTTTTCTCCCCAATCTCTTCATTACCTTGATAAGCCGTGGTCAGGTCCTAATGCCGATTAAACTAAGTACTTTTCCCAGAGGCTCATACTTAGGCTTGCTAGATGACCTTGAGCAAATAACCTATTGGGCTGCTCTGCTTATAAAAAGCCATAATCGTCCATGACCCGCGATAATGGGACAAATGGGAGTAGTGGTTTTCCAAAATTTAACCTCTTATCCCACAGAAGATATATGGTTGTAGTAAACGTTGGCAAACAACTAGTATATACCATTAGAATAATAACACACAAATAAACAAACAATGAGCCACTGATCTTGTCACATGTAAACGTTTATGACCTGTTTTGATAATCAAACCCTTGTTATTGACCGAAATAAAATTGCATTAATATCCCAGGTCATTTTGCATTTCAATTTGTTTAATAATCTCCCTATATAGATTACTTTGTATACCTGGTACCCGTTGGTGCATATGCCATTGAGACAGCTGAATACCTGAGCCCACAATTTTCCACAGCTGCCCCTGGATGTAGACTGGATTTGTGGTTATATATGGATGGCATTAGGCCATATACATTGGAAATCTACCTTATACAGGGTGATACAGATGTCAAGTTATGGGCATGGTATCAAAGTTTTGGTGATGAATGGCAGAACGTGATAATTGGTGTTGGATTACAAACTGGCCCATGGCAGGTAAATTAACAGTTTACAGGTCGTTAAAACCTCGTGTATATATATATATATATAAATACTTTTCAACGTAATTCATAAAATTGTTCTTGTAATACACTGAATTGATGGTGGAATGTCTCATTCTTGTCATTGTCTGATAGTATTTCAGCATATCACATTTTAGCAACGTCTCGGTTTAAATTGGTACTTTAACGCTTTGGGCGCCATTGTCAACTTTTGTCACCAGTCACATTATAATTTATAATAAAAATTTCTTTATAATTTCTTTATAATTTTTGTAACCAAATAGAAATTTATTTTTCATTTGGACCAATATTATAATTATTAAAGTATGGAAAAATACAGACAAAACGTTGTATCAAAATTATCTGGGGGAAATCTTGTCGCTCAAAGGTATAAGTTGGGAAAACGAATAAATATTTCAGTAAATCATTGACAAAGGTAACATTTAGGAAAAAACAGGATGCACTACATGCCACTTTTCACCCAATATTATACGGAAAGTGTTGAGAATAGAGGCGATGTCACAGTATCAGTTGTTTGGTAACATAATGTTGCCTTTTTCTGATTTCCATTTCATCCAAACAACATATAGTGCTTAACGTTTATTTATCATCCTTAGTTTTATTAGTTTCGTTATTTATTTTATTATTCTTGTGATGTTTTCACCACCATGTGCATAAACATAATTTTAATACACTGTGGTATAATTTTGTCCAAATGATGAGTGTCGTATAATGAATTATAATGCTATGTGATTGGCTATCGACCAACTGTTAAACTAGAAAACGCTTATTTTTATTTCAGAT